GACCCGATTGCGGCGCTCGACGCATGCCGCGCTGGGTACGCCGTCGCACTGGTCGGGGCGCAGCTCGCCTCGACGGAGGAGTTGGCGGCGGAAAAGGCGCTGATGGAGGCTGAGGCCAAGGCCGCGGCCTCCGTCTCCCCCTCCCCAGCCATCCTGGCGGTGGTGCAGAAGGCTTCTGAGCGCGAGGCGGCGGCGGGCAAGGCAAGCCTTGCCGCTGAGGCTGCCGTCAAGGCGGCGGAGGAGGCGGTGCTGGCCGCGATGCCTGCGGCCGAGGTGGCGATACAGGCGCTAGCGAGCGCCGCGACGGCCGCTGCCGGACGGATCTGAGACGGTCGGGGGGGTGTGCGGCGGGCGAAGAGAGTCATCAAGACTCTCCACAACCAGAGGCGGCGCGGTGAGAGAGATGGACTATACGCAACCTCCGCTATACAGGTACAGGTCAGCGCCTGAGCTACACACTGCCCCGCTGAGCCTCAGGGCTCGCTCTGACTCGTACACGTCTAAAGCCGTACGGCTTTAAGAAAGAGTCGCACAGACGACTATCTCCACGCTCCAGCCTCCACGGGTGACGTGTCAAACTCCGCACAGGTACATACGTGACACAATCGTACGTCTGATGTGGGAGTGCGAACGACTGCACAAGGGGAAGTCCTGGGGATGCGCGAACGAATCTGGCACGCCGTCCCCACACTCTACAATAAACAAGCGACAACGTTCTCGCTGTGTGGCCTCTTGCGATTCAATCAGGGCGCACCGGAACCGCCCGGCCGGCGGCGAGGGCGAGGAAGTCGTCTGCGGTATCGCACACCTCCTCGAGCTCCCGCTCCACCTTGCCGCCTGGGTACGTCTCGCCGGTCGTCTTTGAGACGTACTCTGCGAAGTTGGCCTTAGCCAGGTAATAGTCGAGCTCCGAAAGGTGGCCCTTCAAGAGCTCAGGCTGCAGCGCAAGCTGCTTTTGCATATCGTCCGGCAGCCGCCCCGAGCCGCCCGCCGCCGCGGCCGCCGCCGCCATCGCCGCCTGCAACGGGAGCAGCACCGACGCTTGCTCGCGCCGCACCCTGTCGGTGAGGCTGGCGTAGTTGTTCACGCCGGGCGTCGGGTCGAGCGGAAGCTTGCGCCGGCTGGCGGCGCCGGCCCGCACGCCGCCCTTGAGCGCCTTGGCCTTGACGATGAGCAGCCTCAGCTCTTCGCTGACGACCGGAGCCGCCGCCGCAGACGCCGGCGGCGGCGGCGTGGTGGCCGCGAGCACCGACAGCGCGGGCAGCACCAGCACGCCACGCCGTGCGAGAGGTGGAGAGGCTGCGACGGGTGAAGGAGATCGAAGCCCGAAGGGTGAGCGGGTTCCGAGAGGCGTTCGTGGCGGGGCTTGAAGCCCGAGCGAAACGGTGGCGGCCAACAGCACATACACACATGCTGTATGCATTGTCGCCAGCGTCGTGAAGACCAAGCGTCTCTCACAGTACCTCCTGTATCGGAGTTTTGTTAGTATCGAGGTCTCGGGAGTTTTGTGCGCGATAAATTCGTGCCGTCCGTGGCGAGCCGAGCCAGGCCACGGCGCTCGGCCTCCTGAGAGAAGACCATCCCGGACGGCAGTGACAATTTACCCGACGTCAATCGTCGACGGCAAGCTCGAGAACTGCCCCTGCAATTTCGCCCAGATTCGCCTCTCGCGGCGCGCTGAGTTAGTATCGCCGGTGCGCCAGCCAGCTCTGCTCCACAGCAGGGCATGCCTGACTGGCTCCTGCTAGCCGTGCGTCCTGGTGGCATCCATTGCCAGCTCAGGTAGCCTCAGGAGGTCGCCTCGCGCACGACTCGGCGCCGCACAGCACCGCTCCGCGTTACTACCGAGTTAGTATCGTCGACCCACAGTGACTGCTCTTCTGTAGGTGGAGCCGACAAACGCCGGCCGGGTCGGCCCCGCCGGCCCCATCGCCGCCGCCGGGGCGGCGGCGGCCTCGGCGGACCATCCGGCGCGCCGCGCGCCCGACGGGGAGGCGTTCACCACTCCTGGATCCTCACCCCGCCACGCCTTCGTGCAGACGCCGTGGCACCCACCTCAGGCGCCGCTCGGACTCGGTTGACGGGAGCCCAAGTGCTTGGCTCGTGCCCAGCCGACCGGCAGGCGATGCCCACTCGCTGCTAGGCTAATCTCGGGCTGTCTTGCGGCGGTGTGGTGCCGTGAAGGGCACCCGGCACAAAACTACGATAGTTAGTACCGTGCGGGGGCAGTGCATTAATTCTGTCAAAAATCCAAATCTGCTCCGTGGAGCTTATTGAGCTAGGATCATACGTCCGGGAGGCCCCTCATGCGTGCCGTAACGAGCCACGGTGCTGGTATGACTCTGTTCACGTTCACACCTTCTTCAATAGCGCAAAACTCCGATACAGGAGGTACGCCCTGGGTTCCGGCCGGCTCCTACTCGAGTACCTGGATAGGGGGTCTGTTGGGACTGACTCGCGCCAAAACGCCCTACCTACCTACCTATCCCCAGGCCGCGCAGCGAAGCGAAAAAAGATGAAAATAGGGGGTACCTACCTATTGCAGGGAGGGCCCTTTTGGGCCAAACAAGACCAACCTACCTACCTATCTGGGAGGGGCCAGCCAGTCCCAACAGACCCCCTATCTGGGTAGGAGCCGGAACCCTGGGCACGACAAGCGTGGTGGAAGAAATTCGCTCGGGGATGCTACAGAGGGCCGCCAGCATCAAAATCCCTGTGTGGTGGCGGCGTGCCGTCCACCCGTCCTCCCATCGCTCCCTTGGGTTGTTTGTTTTTCTTTCTTTGGGGGGGGGCAGAGCGGCACGCTGACATCTCCCCGCGGGGGGGAGCCCATCGATCGCACCACCACGTGGAAGAGAAGTGTAGTGGGGGGCGAAGAAAAAGACACACCAGTTTGGCCCCCGTTCTCTCTCACCAGGCCGCGCCGCCTCGCGCGCAAACAAACAAAGTCGCGCGCGCGGACCGCACGGCTCACTCGTGGGGCTCCGGGCCCAGCCTGAACTCCTCACCAATCGCGGAAAGAAGTGTCCTTGTTATCATGAGAGAGATGCCTGTTGTACTCTTGTCTGCGCCGTTTCTCTCGAATTACGGCGCTCTTCGCCGCGGCGTCCCATTCTTTGCTCTTGAGGTCCCTCGCGCTGGCCCCGCCGCTTCGCCCGCAGCGCTCCCGCCATACGACGCGCCCTCGCTCACCGCCCGAGCGGCTGTGCCTCCCTAGCTGGCTACCCTCCCGCTCGCAGGTGCGCCGTTGCCATCAAGGAGCCGCGAGACGCGTCGCTGCTGCCCATAGGGAACCCATCGCAAAAAGTGTTCCGCGAAAGTGTGCCCAGGCACAGTTGAAGCTGTGCTCAACCTTCGCGATGATCATCGACCAGAACACGCTGCCACCTGAGGCGGCGTTCGTTGCGAGCAGCGCAGAAGCGAGCGACGGCCTCGGCTCCAGCGAGGATGATGGCCTCGGCTCCATGGAGAGCCAGCACGCGGAGTTCGCAGCGGTCTCCCACAAGCGCAGGCGGTCGAACACGACCTGCTGGGGCCAGCTCTTGGGTGCCGCCGGCGTCCACCAGACAGCAGAGCACTCCGCGGCGTTTCGGAACCACTTCTGCGCCCTCTGCCAGTCGCGGGGGGTCACAACCCCGGCCACTCGCGTGCGCGTGGTCATGGATGCGGAGACACGCTGCGGGAATGTGCGCACCGTCGGCGTTTGGAACTACAAGTCGCGCCTCGGATGGCCGCCACATCGCGTCGTGAACCAGACGGCGGGATCCGCCGGACCGCGGCTGGTGGTGCTGCGGGAGGAGACGGAGGAGGAGCTCACGCTCAAAGGCCTCCTCCCCCTCCCCTGCGGGCGCGACGAGTCTGTGGTGTTTCGCGTGGGCCGGACGCTCAACCCGATCACCCTCCCGCCGCTGCGGCTGCCGTCGCCGCCCGCTGCAGCGCCGTCGCCGCCGTCGCCGTCGCAATCTCCGCCGCCGCCGTTCGAGGCGGCCTTCTGGGAGGGCTTCGACGATCGGGTCGACTGCGCGCTCTCGCAGGCGGGCTGGGGCGCCGTGGTGGCATGAGTGGGGGTTCGAGAAGAGGTGGGTTAGGGGGGACCGGCGAGAGGGCAAGCTCGGCCGACGAGAGAGCATGGCTTAGAGAGAACATCCTACTAGATCTAGACACCGCCATCACCGTTGGGGAGAGGGGGGACGACACTGCTTGTGCGCAGCGTGCACCTCGATCCTGTACCATGTTTGTTATGACCCCCCCCAATGAACACTCCAGTGAGGGAGGGCGAGACGATCGAGGGGTCCCGTACCACGCGGAATCGACCCTATCCAGTGACAACCAGTGCTCAAGTGCTCAAGCCAGCCGCCTCTCGCATAGGGGCGGAGAGCACGGAGGGAGAGAGGAAAAGGATAGGCGGTGGACAGAAAAACGGACATTCATGATCGACCACATCCACCATCAACAAGTCTCAAGTGTGAAGTGAGCTGTGGAGTGAGTGTCAGATCTGTTTGGTATGGTTTACGTCTCTCTCTCTCTCTCTCTCTCTCTCTCTCTCTCTCTCTCTCTCTCTCTCTCTCTCTCTTGTGTGTGTGTGTGTGTGTGTCTGTCGCTGCCTCCGGCTGTTTGCGGCGAGCGGCTTGCTGCTCGCTGCGATGGCGAAGAACTCGTCTCGTCGCACACCAAGAGCTTATGCTCTGGCGAGACGTGAGGCGCTTGCGCCCAGGAGGGGAGGGCGCATGTGTAACGACGCTGCTAGAGATGCCTTTCGGGGCCCAGAGATAAAACTTCTGAAGCCATGCGTGACCTAGTAGTGTCCCCAGCTATGGGCGTGTCCACGTTGGAGCCAGGGGTGTGGTGTGGGCGCGAGAATAGCTCCGCCGTTCATTCACATGGAGGCAACCGATACGAGTCGACTGGTGTGTGTCGTCAGAGGGACTCATCTCCTCGAACAATTTCTCGCCAGCACCTCTCGGCGACGGCCATCCAGCCAGCCAATCCAACAGCGAGCAATGGGCCTCTTTGGCAGCGACTCGCCTTCGAAGAAGGAGGAGACGGCGCCGCTCGTGACGCCCGAGAAGGAGGGGCTCCGCCAGCGGAGGAAATCTCCCTTCACAAAGGCCGACGAGGAGAAGAAGGACAAGATTGACCAGCTCGTGCTTGCAGCGTCAGACAAGGTGTCGCCGCAGGTGGCCGAGTGGCTCAAGAAGGCGGCGCCGGCGATCCGAGCCATCTCTCAGGCGCCGCCATCGCCAGGCGCGTTTGGGCGCGTCGGCCGCGCTGATGCATCCATATCGCCGGCGGCCGCAGGCCATCGCAACGATCGCACCATTCTACATCATGGCGGCGAAGAAGCTGTACGAGATCGGCAACAAGCTGCCCTGGGACATTCTGCAGGCCGTCATCGGCCTCGGCCTCTGCTTTTTCGGCGGCGGTTATTGCGCCTCGATTGCCGCCGTCGAGGCGCGGCGCGGAGCAGAGCCTCGGATCTCTCCGCCCCTCCCTCCATCGCACGCCCTGCTTTTCACACCGATACCCTCGCCTCCGAGGCGTTCGCGCTGACCGGCTGGCCCACCACACGGCAAGCGCTGATCGACGTCTACGAGGAGGCCGCCAACGTGCTCGACGCAAACGAGGAGGACGACAAGAAGGACGAGGACAAGAACGGCGTCCGCGACATCGACGAGGCGAAGACACGAGACACGTCACACGAGACTCGTCCCAGACGCCTCACAGACGCGCCGCCGCCGACCTGCCACAGCCGGGACCCCCCCCCCCCCACCACCACCACCCACCACCCACCCCGCCCTCCTTCCCGCCCCGTTTCAGATTGACGACGCCGGAGAGCTGGTCAGGCACAAGCTGATGGTCGCGGCAAAGGCAACCCTCTGGCCTCCGCTCCTTAGCCCTGCCCCTCCTCCGCCCCCTTGCCCCTGGCTGCCGCTCCCTCGCCCCCCCGCCCTTGGCCGTGTTCCTCGCCCTCACCCTCGCCCCCGCCCTCGCCCTCCCCCTCCCCTTCCCGCCTACCCCGGTGAGCTACCCCGGTGAGCCCGCCCCCTCGCTGCCACCTCAAGGCGGTCCGCGACCCCGAGAAGCTGAGCACCGCCATCGGAGGTCTGGCACCACACCCCTTCTCCTGCCTGCCCTCAGCCTCCTCTGCAACACCCCCCCC